TTTCTCACTTTCTGAAGTTAAATTCGACCAAACTTCTCCTGTTTTATGTTAGTTAAAATCACCAAAATCATTCATAGTTTCTAAATGCCAGAAAACATTTTGGAGATTTTGGTGTATCTACAAGGCGGAGTTATGTCCAACCAGGCGTTTTGCTCACCTGAATGGTTGCCATGGAGATTAGATAAAGGAATCAAAGCCACACTACAGGTATGTTTCTGATGAGGAAATAACATTATAACATATGGAAAAAAGTTGATTTTACTTACAATTACTGCAGAAACTCGACCAAAAATACTTTTGTGCTTTTGCAGTGCAAACTTCTGAATTCAAAGAAAGTTTCAAAAAATATATCAAAAAAATTCCTTACCAAGTTTAGCAAATAGAAATAATTTTAATTCTGCCTGAACTAAAACAAAAAAGTTTGTTTTTGATTTAACTTCAGGCAGTAAGAAAAAAAAAGTCTTTTTATCCAGTTTATGTAAGCAGTAAGGAACATGCAGATGCTGAAGCCAGATGTTCAGTTCAATACAAATAAATAAATTTGATGTTGAATGATGTGAAACGACTTCTGGAGAAAAAAACACAACTTCTCCTTTTTCTAAAACTGAATGATGTTAATTTTCATCGTCACTGGAGCCGTTATGAGCTGAATTCATGTCGACGTTTCTTTGTCTTCATGTACTCATAAGGCTTTACTTATTCAGTTTTCAGTTTTATATCTGGCAGGTTTACACACATCAGCGTGAGCTCAAACGTCTTTCAATGATGGACTCAACCTTTTCATAGTTCGCTCTGTCTGCAGTGAAAAAACATCCTTGGATTGAGCTCTAAATGAGAGAAAAACCTTCACTGGGTTGAGCTCAGAGGTTTATAGGAATAAAGTCTTACAAAGTGAAAACCTACAAGGGCGAATTCCACCTACTGATTAATTCAAACCTGAAAATGTGTGCAAGGTTTCCTGACAAAGGCCGTTAATGTGTCACACAGCACATCAATGTCCAAAGGAGGAAAATTAAAGCGACACGCATTTATGAAAAGCTTCTGAAAAAAGTCCTAGAAGTCGTAACTCTTATGAAAACCAGAAAGAAAAGTTACCCAGTTAGATGAATTTTCAGAAAAGGACGAAGAATGTGGAGAAAGAAGACAGAGAGACAAAGGCATTACCTCCCATTTTCCTCAGCAGATGACAAGGGTAAAATAATTATTATCACACAAACAATAATCCGTCTTTCCTGCGCCATCTCCCCGTAGTCGCATCCATAGCTGCAGGCAGATAATATACTGGACTGCCTGAGATGCATTTGAATATTTCTTTGGCAGGAAATCACATTACTGGCTATTAAAAAGTAATTATTTGTACATAAATTCCCTGCAAGTTTGAGCCTAGACTTGGCAGATGCTTGTGTGTTTTGTTATGTGTGTGTGCGTGTCTGTGTGTGTGTGCACGCGTGTTTGTGTGTGTGTCTGTGTGTGTGTTTGAGCTCAATGCTAAGGCAGTTAGCGTGTGAGGCGTTGTGGTGTTGTGTTTATTAAAAACGCAGACAGCCTCTCCATCATCAGCAGCGAACACACACACACACACACACACACACACACACACACACTCACACACACACTGTGTCAAAGAAACTATATTTCATAGGGCGCATGATAATGTAATTACCAATACTTAGCATAGACACAGAGGAAGAATGGAAAGAATAGCTACAAAGAGGAAGTAGAGTAAAAAGTTTTAAGTGAGACGTTTTGTTGAAGAATGTGAAGAAAATGTTGCAGAAATTATTTTGGGTAAGAAAGTTTTAAAAAGTTCTTAATTATCAGTTTTTGGTTGTTTTAAACAACAATAAGCTGTCAAAGTTAGCATTAGCATTAGCATACTGGTGTCAGGTCTAGTCCACACGTAGCTGGATATCTGGGAAAATGGATACATTTTACATCCACATGAAATCACTAAAAATGATTAGAAAGTTATTTTAATGCCAGTTTCCACTTTGACTTTAAAGCATAATGCAGATAAACTATACGGTGCCATTTTTATGTTTTAGTGCAAGTTGTGAAATTTTTGGGTACATTTTTGTAAATTCTGCAATATTTGACCTAAAATCGTCTCAGTGCTGCCCTCTTTGGGTGGAACGGTGGCTACGTCACACAGTCCTGAGTGTATAAATAAAACCTATTTTATTTAGACACTCAGCCTGAGTTGGAATTATGAGCATTAAGCAAAAAAATAAATAAAAATGTCTCTGGTAACACACACCCCTCTGCATATCGTGGCTCCGCCCACTTTCATGAACATTTCCAATGATTATCTGTGGGTCTGGCTGTCCACAGGGAATTTAATTAACTTTTAAAAGCCTTTTAATCAAAAGGCCAAATCTTGTTGGTCAAAAATTATTTGTAGAAGCAATAATGAGTAAACTATCTAAGGGTTATTTGTATTATGTGACAGAATATGGTGTTCCTCAAGGTTCTGTTCTTAGTCCCTTTTTATTTTCTTTAACTTTCTCCTGGTTAAACATCAGGAAATGTGAAGTGTTGAAACCAAGCTTCATGTCCATCTACAGCAAAAACCTCTTAGCAAAAACCGTGAGTTTTTTTTATTGGCATGTTTCCGTTAAGCTAATTTATTTTCATAATTCCAATCTGAGCTTATAGATTAACATAACATATAGCACTATATATATGTTATGTTACACCTCCAATAAAAACACAATAAAAGTTACTTAAATCCCTTTTTCTCCACAATTTTGATCCTTGATTTAAATTCCAGGATGCAGAAAATACTGCATGATTTGTTCAGTCGCTGCCATATGATTGTTTTTTTTTTTTTTGTTATTTGAGCTAATTAGCAAATAAACACCTGTAACTGAAGATGTGTAAAAACTTTCAGCAGATGTTGAACTCAACTTATAACTAGTAATAACTAATAAATAATATTTAAAGAAAAAGTAATGAAACATGTCTGTCTTTCTGCGTTTTGTGTATTTCCTGGCTGTAAATCAGTGTCACTGATCCGCGTTAACATCTCCCCTGCACACGCTAACGTTAGCGTTAGATGAATACAGTTCTTTCTTCTTGTCACAAACCTTCCTGACGTACACAAGTCGAGTCATGGCGGTTCAGTCTCAGAGGAGCTGTTTTTCTCATTAAAATCTGTTTGTTGCTCTCTGGTGGGAGGTTATTGCAGACAGATTGTGCACAGCCTGCTTTTTCTTTGCCGTTTTTGTTATTAGGTGTTCCTCCATCTGGACCTCCCACATTAATAGCCTTTATTAATGTTTAATAGTGGGATTACTCTGGCTGGCTTTATTTGGCTTGGTTTTGGCTCAAAATGAAACTGGACTGCTTGTGTTTACAGTGAACTTTGTTGTCCTGAAATGTCCTTTAAACTCGTCGGCTTTTTCAAAAGGTTTCAGCTCTGAAAGCTGTGAAGATGCAGCAGGAGGAGGAGGAGAAAAACAAAACAGACTCAAAAAAACTCCTGGGAAACCTGAACGTGAAATTTTCTGGCAGAGAATAAGAGCCATGATAAAAAATGAGATTACGAGAATAAAGTCATAATCATACAAGAACTTTATTCTCATGTTACTTTAAGTTTATTGCCATATGACTTTATTATTGTAATTATTTTTTTCATTTTCCGAGTGTGGCACTAATACTCATCATACATCATAACAGAGAAGATGATTAGGACCATTGCAAAAAATTTATTCCAACTTTAATCTCAAAATTCTGACTTTTTCTCAGAAGTTCAACTTTTTTCTTACTTTTTTAATTAAGTCATGACTAAAAATCATGACTTTTAGTTATGCCTAAGCTCTGAATTTTTTGTTATAATTATAATTTAAACATCATAATCCTGACTTTTTTTCTCAGAACAATTCTTTGACACAATGATCCAAGCACTTTATCCTTTCTGGATCATTAAACTACATTGTAAACTAATTTGCAGATAGATTTTTGCTTTATGTTTCATAGATTTGGGTTTTACCTGTGTGAAGAAAAACCTTCATAAAGATGCAGAAGACAACAGCAAAGGCCTTTGTAGACACCATTAGCAGCATGAATGAAATGAGAGGATAAAGGACAGTAAATAGTGGAAGTGGGGCAGCGAAGGAGTGAAGGCAGAGGAAGACGGAGGCTGGCAGTGTTTATCATCAGGGGTCCTGTTGGATATCATTCAGTTTGGAGCCATAAGGCTGAGCTGGCAGCGAGCTGGATGGCTGTCACACCGCTCTGATTAGGAGCTCACTGCTGCATGAGAGATGGACTCTCATGGTAAATCGGCTTTGTTGGGATAATTACTCGTTCCTTTCATTTCATCTGGAAATAAAACATTGTGTATTGCTGCTGCATATGAAAAAACTGATCTTGTGTGTTTTCTAAGCAGATTTGAAGTAAAAATGTGTTTAATGGCGAATGCCTGCAAACACCAACAGTGAGACCAGTAGCACCAACTGACTGGACCTCTGTTAATTAGGTCAGTCAATGAATATCAATGCTACCACACATTTTATGTTACATATTTTGAATCAACTGTCATTATGTCGTAAAAATCAATTTCCATTTTGACATTAAAGGGCAACTAAACCACAAAATAACTTTTTTTATGCGGATAAACTGTATAAATTGGGCCTTCGGGATGCTGTCTTTAAGTTTCAGTGCAAGTTGTGACATTTTTGTGTAAATTTGTTTAATTCTGCAGTATCTGATCTAAAATCGTCTCAGTGCTGCCCTCTTTGGGTGGAACAGTGGCTACGTCACACAGTCCTGCGTTCGGCCAGGAAACCATTTTGTTAGACATTCAACCTGAGTTGGAATTACGAGCATTGAGCAAAATAGAAAAAAAAGTTCCTTTGTTGCTCGTGGTGATTTTGAAAAGATTGTCTGAAAAGTTGCTACATGTAGCAACAAAGTGTTAAAACAGATTAATACAGATAATCTGAATAATCTTGTGGTTATTTGGGGTAAGTAAGCGTTTAATCTCCACATAGATGGAGAGCAGGCAGAGTGGATCCGGTACCTGATGCTGCAGCAGCCTGACCGGATCGTTTGAGCTGATTGGACTCTGGAGATTCTGGGTTCAGAGGCCCGGGGACGGACAGGCAGATGGACGGATGGACACTGGATGTGGGCAGATGTACTGAGACCTCCGCAGACTCTCAGAGGAACCGAGGCGGACCCAGAGGCTGGCTGTGTGCCGCAGGTCAGCAGGTGGGAGACGGATCGGCACAAACCGTTATTTATCAGAGAAAACAAAAGCTCATCGTTAGCTGGGAAAAAGGAGACATGGCTTTTTTTCCAAGGTTCCCACTGGCTTGTTCAGTTTATCAGCATGCACTGATTCAGGCGAAGGAGGTTTTTAATGCAAATGAGTGATAAATACATGTTAGATTTAAACTAAAGGCTACCAAAGTCCTTGCTTCTTTTTTTTTCTTTAAATCGTAGTAACTTGCCCACATGCACAATTGGGAGGTGTGTGTGTTTCTCCCTTTGATGGGAGCCGTATTCCAGAAAGAATGCATTAGGTTTGGTCTAATCACTGGAACAAAATTTTGCTGGACAATAAATTGCCCCAGACTTCATTGCAATAAATGATAATATTGTTGTTTTGAAACAATTTTCAAGTAAAATGGCATAATAATAATAATAATAATAATAATAATAATAATAATGATGATGATGCAAGAAAACATTCTCAAAGATCAATAAATTTTAATTTCTAATGAATATTTAACACTGGAACTGGAAGACATTTTAAATATCCAAAACAAATAAACAAAACAGCAAAAACAACAAATAAAATTAATTATGGAGTCTGTAAATAAAACTGTCCTTAGAAAATGACTAGTTGAGACCAAAACACCAAACTGAAGACTTTTGGTAGAAAGAGAGAAAAGAGAAAAATGATAAGTCATGCAAATGAAAACTTTTGGGTTTTGTTCTAATTTAGCATGTGGTTCATTTATTGCGTATTATGACAGGCCTAGCAGTTAGCCAAATAGATTACACTCCTTTAATGTCTTAGCTAACCAGCTAACTGTTTGATTCATTGAGATCAGGAGACTGATTCTAATGAGACTACGGTTGTTTTCCGACCTGAAGCCTGAACACCTGGAGAAAAAGCAGACAGAAAAGCTTGCTAACAGCTTTTGTTAGCAGTAAGCTAACAGAAGGTCTAACAGCTACACAGCCTGTGACCCTTAATTAAATTCTCCAGAGACAAATCCAGGCCATGTCTCATGAATAAGTTTCCTCTGATGTTATTATGCAGCAACCAGACGTAGAGCCAACAGGATAACGAACCGTAATGGGCGCCTGGTGTTCATAATGGATACCAGAACAAGTCAACATCCAGGATCAGTTTTAACTTCATAGTGTGTTCATTGATGACACGTCTTCTTACATCAAACCTTTTGTTTGTACATAAAAGACAAGGAAATACATTTATTATAAATAAATATCTCGTTTTCTCAGGTTACCTGCTGTTACTTTGGGTGAAACTGCCACCAAACTCTCCTGATGGTGAAATATAAATACCATCCACCGTTTTTTTATTTTTCTAACAGAGCAAAACAAAAGTAGAAGCAGACATTTATGTGTTGCCCACAATTTTGATCTTCAGTTGTTGTCAGACCTCTTAACATTTCCACTAAAATAACTTCTGGACTCTACAACTGAGAAGGTCTCAAACCCTTTTCCTTTTGAGGTTTTTGGAAAGCAGAGACATCATCAGTCTGGGCTGGTTTCCTCCGGTTGGCATCATTAGGCAAGAGGGAGACAATCGTTCACGTCTTCCTGACAAGGCTTGGATGGCTGTCAGAAACTGAGGCAGAGATTGGAGCTCAATCTGAGTTTTTCTTCCCATCTAGAAAGTATCACAGAGACCTGCTTAATGATTGTATGACCAGAATAGACCAGAGACCTGGTGACCCTGTCGTCCGTCCCAAAACAGATACATTTGGCTGCTTCAGACAAATTATGCAAAACTCATATTTTCCACAGTTTTGTACTTCCATTCAGCCCAGCACTGAAAAAAAAAATACCAAGCTGTTTTCTTTTTTTGTAATAAATTAATGTTTTTTGGTGTCTGGAAAATCAGCCGTTTCAGAAACCTCTGGAATGTGACGTCACAAATCGGCAGGCGCTGCCCCGTTACCTAGCAACCCCAAAAGAGTTCTGCCTGTTACCTAGCAACCCCAGCAGAGTTCCGCTCGTTACATAGCAACCCAGAGCTCCAGCACATTTGGTCAGCTGGTTTTACAGATGGGTGTGCTGTACAATGGCTGCCGGAATGACAAGTGTTTTGTTGGTGTCTTAATATTTGGAAACCATTTGCTGCATTCTTGTTGGTTTTGCAGGAGGCTCCACTTCTGCTTTTCAAAGATGTACGGTTGCATAATTGTGGATCATTGTGCAGCCATTTTCACTGTAGGCTGTAACGGTTCAGTTGGGGGGCAGCAGCTTAAATGGATTTAGAGCTGCTGTATGTAACTTTCACACAAAATGTATGTTTTTACACATTTGTTTAAACTGTCACCATGTCGCGACAGTTTGGTTTGAGACAGATAATGTGTGAAAAAATATCAAACTCCTCCGCCTTCTCCCAGTGCTAACGAGAAACAACCAATCAGAGCCACGAGGCGGATCTTACCGCTGTCAATCATGCAGCTCCATGCAGCGCTGCTCATTCTCCCTTGCCTTCTGCTGTTTTGTGTAACTGTAAGTTGTTTCTCCGGCATTAGCACATTTAGCATTGTGAACATGGTGCAGCGTAACAGCGCTAAGACCGGTCTCCTGCCTCTGATTGATTGTTTTTGGTTGGGAGCTGTGCATTTCTTCAAACGGCAAAGTAGCTCAGGGATCATCTGTCTCATAATAACCATGACATGATGACAGTTTTAATGGATGTGTAAAAAACACGTTTTATAAAAGTGACATAATGCAGCTCATCATCTAAGAATGATGATTTTGTGCAAAAAATATAATAAAGATGTTTTTTATCGTCCATAGACCTTTCCTAACCTGTTTCAGGAAGCAAAATAAATCCCATTTAAGAAGAGCAAAGCTGAATAAACTTCATTTAGTCCTCCAGTGTTATGTGTACGTCCAAAATATCTCTGGCTTCTGTAAGCATGCAGTAATTATTGTCGTTTCTGTTGTATTTCCAGCTTCAGTTCTCAGGTTGCTCCTCCTGCAGAAATCCTGCTGCCGTCTGTTGAGAGTTTGTGTGCAAACATGTCGTATTGGCAGCCAATCAGTCGGATTTCTTCCACCGAAACGTGGCAGGAAACCCAGCAGTCTGTCTCTGAGATCACAGCGAACGCTTGTCATTTTCAAACCCGGACTGTTCAAGAGTCCATTCAGCAGGATTTATCTTTGGACTTGACACAGACGTTTTGTTTATGTGGCAGGATCGTTCCGATCAGCAGTGCGGCCGGAGTATCGGATTACCTTTCCTCAGTCCTTGAGCCGACGTTTTCCAAGAATAAATCGAATCAAATTTTCACTTTTCCGGACTCAGCAGTGGGTGTAATAATTTAGATTTCTTGTCATGACACCTATCTGACATGTCCTGGTATCAGTTCTGCCAGTTATGTGTCAGATTTGCTGCCTAACCTTGGCTGACTTGATGCGTTTATTAAACACACACTCAGCAGACTGTTTTATGAAATGCCCCGTCATTCAGTCTAAATACTGCAACACAGCACTTCCTGAGTTCAGATGGGACGTTTCGTGTTTTGTCCCTCGCTGCTGCGAAACATTCATCCATAAATTAATGAATGTTTTATTGCAGCAGAAGGATCTCTGAGTGGAAATATTTAGAAAACTAGCCATTAATTTGTGCATATTTATCAAAAAAAATCCCAGAGAGAGATTTGTTTTTGTTTAACAATAATTGTCATGCTTTCTATTAATACTTTCTATAAGAGAAGGCCAGTAGCTTTCAGGGTGTTTTAGATTTGGTTTTATTTGGGACAAAAGTTACAACATTTTTTACAATTTCAGCTGCTGTTCTCTTTCAAACTGCACCGAGTCAAATAAACCAGACAATTTGAAAAACCTGTTCCCCTCCTCACCTGTGGGGGCGCTGCAACAAGAATAACTGAAGGAAACAAAAACGTCTGAAGACATGAGCGCAACTTCCTTCTTTACAAAATGGAAATAAAAATGGAGAAGCGTCAAATTTTAGCGGTTGTTGCATTTTGCTTTTGTCTTCGGTAAAAAAACCACAAGTCGTTTCTCCCACTAGATTTTAGAGGCGGGTTTCATTTTACAGGAAGATGTTAAAATCTTTTGTTGTATTAGTTGTTTTGTTTGTTTTATGTCAATTAGGAGGACAGTTCTAATATTTCTGTGCTGGGTGAAGGTGTGGGACTCGATCTCTATGATGGCAGAAAAAAGGAATAAATATCCGCCAAAAAACTCAGAAATTTTCTAGAAAACAAACAAAAAGTTCCAAAACTCTAAAATTTGCAAGGAAAGTTCAAAGTTTGAGATTAAAAAACAAGGAAATTTCTAAGCATCAAAAGCAAAATAAACATTCACCAATATTCTAGAAAAACTTTGACATTTCTGAGTTTCAAAAGTCGAAGATCTTCAACTTTTGAAACTCAAAAAATATCCAAAAGTTGAGAATTTTCAACTTGGCAAGATAAATTTCCAATTTCTATCCTGCATAACTATGCATATGATTTTTTAAATTTACCTTCAAATGCCAAGGCCAAACTAATGAGCTCTAGATCAAGTTCAGCAGTTTTCAGCCAGCTGGATTACATTCCTTTAATCATGTCTGTTAGCTGCTCAGCTAACGGATAAAAGCAGCGTAATTTGATTGGCTGAAAGCCACTCGACTGTTGGTGATTAATTTGACTTGGTCATTAGAACTTCACCAAATTTGCAGGCAAGTTTTTGCACATGAAATTTCAAAATAAAATAATTTCTTTGCTAGTGAAAAAAAAACTTTGTAAATCTGTTTCAAAATTTGGAAATGTTTGACAGAATTTTCTAAAGTGTTTTTTTTTTTTCTAAGAACTTTCTGGGGTTTTTGGTTGGAATTTATGTACAAACAGCCTGTAATCAAATTGCTGTTTGATGTAAACAGGATTTAATAGCATTAAATAAGAATTGTGGTTTTTAACAGCTTTAGCAGCAGTTTTGGAAAAACATGTGAATCTTTTGAAAAACAAAAAGCTTGTTTCAGCTCTCAGAAGTGATAACACAAATTTACATGTGTGCCCCATTAACTGCTTGTTTCTGTTGTTGCTCTTAATTTTCACCTCTGATCCGTCTGTTCACCCAGCTGATCTGGAGAAGTTGGATAAAATGATCTCACTTTGTAAAACAAACAGAATCCTGGTTTATAAACCACATTCTGATGCAGAAGAGAGAACTACAACTAATGAAACAACACATTTTAAAATTAACTAAAACATACTGATATTGCAGATATGTAATCATTCGTAACCAATAATCTAGACTTCACAAACCGCAGTGCATTCACCGGTAATCACTCTGAGCCAAAAACATTAAATTATTTTTCAAAATAAGGCCACAGATGGAGAATATCTCTGAATGTTTTCCTGTGTTGTTGCTCAGGTTAAAGTTTCCATCCATGTTGTTTTCTCAGTGTTTTCTTCTTCTTCTGCTTTGTGTTGGTTGAATCCATCTGAATGGTGAATTACCGATTTTATAACACACTTTATGTGTGAGCGGTGGATTTTTTCCATCATTATTTTTCCATCAACAGTCATATTTGAAAATATAAGGAGTAGAAAGTAGATATTTTTCTTAAGATGAAAAGAATAAAACTAAAAAGTTGCCAAAAAGATAAATACTCAAGTAAAGTAATGATACCTGAAAAATCTACTTGAGTACAGTAAGAAAGTACTTTTACTTCTTTACTTTACAGTTCTGCTTACAGGAAGCGTTTTGTCTCCTCAGAAGCATCCGGAAACGGTTCTGTCTTGATTAAATGTGGCTCTTTGTGGGATCTCTGAGGTTGAGCGTCAGCCGGGTCCATCGGAGCCGCGGGTGAGCCAGGCAGATAAAACGATATTAAAAGCAGAGCCGGAGAGAACGGTGACGTTAGTGGGCGGAGGGAAAACTTAAAGGCTTACCCGAAGCCTCGGTCCAATATGAAAACACGGCGTCGGTGAGGATCTCATCATGGCCTCGCTAAATCCAACTTAATTGACTACAAATCTTGGCCCAACAATCCCCGGCTCTCCATCGGTTTTCCTCCTTCGTCCCTCCACTGAATTATCCTGATGGTTTTAGAGACATTTATTAGATCAGAACCAACCTCTCTTTGTTTTTATGAAAGTTCCCGTGTTTATGATCTTCTATGAATTTATTCTTTTCAGCGGTTCGGTGTGTGTTTGAGTGTGTGAGACAGAGGCTTCACACTGGCCTCTGTATAAATGAGGACTGCTCGTGTTTTGATGGAGAGAGCAGCTCATTAATATTCATGAACCGAGGAAAACATCAACCCAACACTTGACTCGGCCCTCACAGGACTCTGTGTGTGTGTGTGTGTGTGTGTGTGTGTGTGTGTGTGTGTGTGCGTGTGTGTGTGTGTGTGTGTGTAAGAGAGAGAGAAATGGTCAACTCTTCAGCCACAGCCCTGCTTTAACTTTTGAGCTTGTTTTTGCCAAGGTGCTTCTGGTTTCACTTGTTCTTTGAGGCGTTTGGTAGAAGATTATTGGAAAACAAAGAAATTAGGACAAAGGGACGGTTGAAGGAGTCGAGGTTGGCATAGAATAAAACTTTGGAGTGAAACCACTGTAGTTTTAAGGCATTTAAACAAAAATATAAATACTTTTTTTTAAATCACATTTAATCTCATTACAGACATTTACATTCAGTCTGATGACCCATTATGCTTCATAGAACAGGTTAGAATAAGTATATAATCTACACAAAATATGTTCTCCACATTTTTCCACAAAATCATTCTTAGATCATGAGATTTTAGTCTGGTCAGTTCTGCCTATTTTGAGCTGTTAATGGCGTCACTTTAAATCCAAATAAGCTGCAGTGGTAGAAGCAACTGGCCAATCGTGCTGGAGCTCCCCTAGGGTTGCTAGGTAACGGGCGGAACTCTGCTGGGGTTGCTAGGTAACGGGTGGAACTCTGCTGGGGTTTGTTCGTTATTCTGCAATAGCCAGCCACGCCTTAATCTCACCACCGACTGACTACTGACCAGCTCTCTGTCTAACAGGTCCGGAAAACCCCTGAAACCTGGGTCTTACCCTAAAATAGGTGTACAGGAGATTCTCTGTTTAAACTGGTGGCGGAGAAAACTCGTCTAGCTCTAACTACCTTCAGATCCAGAAGTTACGGCCCTTTACAGTTGAGAAACAGTCGACAGAGTAGCCCTCACTGCCGCATAGCATCAACAACCACTCCTGTAAACGGTAGCTTCTCTCCTGAAAATAACGTGCACTTGTTATCGGCTAGATTGGTTTTAGTGACTTAGATCTAAGTCCCAGGGCCATTATTTTAACACTCACCAAAGGAAAGTACGAAGCCACCACATCTCTAGAATCATATATGTTAACTTTACTGGTTATCAAGAGAACCCTTAATGATCAAACTGACTCAATTAACCTCAATGTCCACAACTTCTATTACTTTATAATGGGTACTTTATTATGCAAGCTTTAGCAGGGGTAAATGACAAGCAGAGTTTCTTTCAGAGGTTACAAATTCACGATAGCATAAAATCAAATTAAAATCAAATTAAAATCAATCTTACCCTACTCTCTTTCCTAACCCTAATCTGTGTCACCAGTTCCACTAAGCAGGGCTTTTGGGGAGCAATTCAACTCACACCCAATGGCAACTTGATCTTGGCAGCTGAGGTCCTCAGATGTCCTTGGTTAGAGTCTCTGTCCTGGTGGGGCAAAGTTTTCTTTACAGAAAAGAAGCAAAGTCGATCAGTTCGTTTTCCATTAAACGAACGGGATCTTCATCACCGGGTGACCTTTGTCTTTTCTCCAAGTCCGCCACAACAGAATACGGATCATTGGGTGGAGGCAGAGGAGCCAGCCGAATCAGGAACCGAGGCTGGGCTAGTGGATCTTGTCCCTTCTAGGCGGCGCGGAGTTTCAACTTTCCCTCGGTCCCAGGGTGTGGTCCTCTGCTGGTCTTCAGCCTGCGCCCTTTCGTTGTCTCTTCCTCAGCGCTGCAGACAAAGAACAGTTTCTTCCCCAGCTTGCTGGCTTTTTAAACCTTCTTGGTTCATAGTTGTGTATGGGAGAGGTCTCATGACTCATCCCTCCCGATTATTTCATCGGAAAGTACCTCTCCTCCCCAACTCTGCTCCACCCTGAATTTGGAAATACCCAAATTTTTCTTGTCTGACTGCTGCAACTCTTGTCCGTTACTTCTCTTTTTCTCCTATTGGCCATTTGGCAGTTATTGCCTTTTTCGGAGATGTTCTGATGCCTCCGCCCAGCTTTAGTGTACTGCCTGTAACACAGTTTGCAACTCTCTTTCTCCTGTACTCGGAT